GCGCAAATTTGACGTTTCTGCGACCAAGGGTTGGGGAGATACAGATTTTCGAAGAGAGGCATGCAAATCGTGACTTTTGACCATTCGCCACGGTCAGGTGCTGGACCTGAGAGTGCCAGAAAGTGGCTCCAAGGCCCTCCCTTCGGGTCCTCTACAATAATTATGAACCAGAGTTTCATTTTAGGGCGGTCGATTTTCATCTTCCCTTAGTACCTTAAAGTGAAGCTAGTAGTAGGACGCGAAACGTGCTCCTGTGTGAAATCATGAATAATTTGAAAACAAATGAATGAATAACAAAAAAGCAATTTCGACTATTACAAACTATGAGTAATCATTTACATTTCGTTTGAAAAATGTTTGTTACATTTTTTCGGTCGTTTTCTTAAAAAGGAATCAATTTTGCATCCTGCCTCAAACTTTCTGGCGGTACTGTATATCTATTCATCGACGACGCAAATGTCAACAGAAACAAGGAATATAACAACAGCTGGCACGAGTAAAAAAACAGTAAGACAATATGCTCTCTGTCAATGTTTTAAGAGTGATTAATCCGATACTGAACTTTTAACCGATTCAATCACGAGCTGACACGCGTTCCTATGGCATCATTCCCGTGTACTTTGCTTCGTTTCCTCGCAGTACTTCATTCTCTCAGCTACGAGCAAAAAAGGTTGATTTATTACATAATTAGTTACTACCAACGCATGGCTGTATATGAACCGAGCTTTCATGAAAGCGAGTGGAGGATATGATGAGCCCCATGTTCCACAGCCATGGGAGGAGAAATGCCAGAGCGAAGGAGGGAGGGCGCTTGAGAAGTTCCGCTTCAACCTGGAGAGGAAGGACTGGACTCTGGGAAGGGATTACGGCGAGGAGGGAATCACCATCAAGTACTTGTTCGATCAAGAGACGAAGACGCATTTCCTCTTGACCGAGGTTATCTCTCGCGTTCTCTCCGGTTGAAATAACAAACTTTGAACAGGTAATTGTCTAATGAAAATCGAGAAGTCTTCCATGGACTGGACTGAGCTCTCACGATATTTCGCAATTGCCTAATTACGGGAATGATAGGAGAAACCAGTGAAACCGTCTATGGGAATGGAAAGAATACTCTACCCATCAAAGCATCGTCAAGAAAGTCCCTGTGTATGTAATCGTGGTAACGAGAATTATGGCATGATAGTGAGAACGATGTTAGCCTATTCTTTCACGTCTCTAGTCAGTACCAGAATCATTCCAATAAAGAAAAATAAAGTCCCTACTAAAATTCGAATAAATTCCAAATCCTTTTAGGATACGTTTTCCTCACCCCAATTGGAATCGGCTGTTCCATTTGAGAAGGGAAAATTTTCCAATTTTCCAGTTGGCTTCCTCTCTCCTTTATCCGTGAGTTTCGTATGGTTCTTCGGTGGGAAGATGCATCAGTCGTTTGCGGGTTCATGAGGCATTACTTCTCACTTGATACTTCTTACACAGCTTTCTGTTGGATTGCGACTCATTTCCGCTCCATTGCATTCCCCCCCCCCCCCCCAAAAAAAAAAGTCTGATGATGAGTTGTCAAGTTTCCTTGAAACAGTTTGAAAGGGGAAGAAGTGCCAATTTTCCCTTCATTCCGAAATTTTTAGGATGCATTTCTCAGAGACCGTTTGAAAGACTGAAATTTCACGCTGCAGGCCCCGCTGGATTTCCCGTGCGACTGGACGTTTCCAGTCTATCGAACCACGCGCTGCCGGCCATGCCGATTGGTACTCGGACGTCGAAGAATACAAAATCATTCAGGTCCGTCTCGTTGGCGAGGATTTCTTCACCTTCCGGATTAAATTGCATCAACTCTGGTGGTGGTCCTATTAATCTTGCATGGTAAAATGATATGAGTGATATATTTAAACGTCCATCTGTGCTGGGTATGATATCGAATGGCTTTCAAATGAACATCAATATTGCCTTCGGTCACAATGCAATTAATAATATTTAATAGTAACGTAATGTAAAGTATAGTAAATGTAAATGTAATGTAAATAGAAAAGCTGCCTCGTGCAGCATTCTTGTGACGATACATTTCCTTGCCATTGCAATGAGTTCGATTGCGCGCAATTTAAAATCACTAATGATGAAGTCGGACTCGGGGAGGAAACTATTTAATATGGTTGACGAGGGATGGTTTATATAGAATGGTTTTGACCAGGGAGTCTCCTGATGAAATCCGTATTGAAAACCCGTATTTTCCGTGCATACCTTCGAGATTCCAAAGTTTTTATCCAAAATCTCTTTATCTTGATAAAGTTCTTAAATGATGGATTCAAAGCGACTCATGCAAACTTCAGCATAGGGCGTTTTAAAATTCACTCCCGTTGTTCAGACGACTGCCCAATAAAAACCAAAAGTGCTATTCGAAACACATCGGGGGGTATGGAGCGAACCTCACCCCGGTAGGATTCTGGCTATGGGGTTACCTCAAGCGTGGTATTCACCGCGATGGCCACACCACGTGCCGAGAGATGAAGGAGAACATGCAGCAAGAAGTCTTCTCCATGCCACTGACATGTTTCTAACAGCAGTTTGGAATGTGCTGTCACATTTCGAAATTATGACCGTCACAAAAGGAAAGAACGTGGAACAGCCATTATGAAAACTAATGCCGATTGTGGAAAATGGGTACTAAATGGAGACCATAATGCAATATGCAATGACTACCACATGACTGTAGATATCTTCCGCATGGTTTAATTGGTCTACACATCAAGTTTCACAACGTTGTGTACTTCGATTATCTGCAGGCAGTCGTCTGAATAGCGAAAGTAACATTTTAAGTGTCCTGTATATCTCTGCCATTTAGTGCGTAGGATATGCAAGTGAACGGACCCGAACTGCAATTGGGAACAGCCTGGAGTATCTGTCCGATCTAGGACAGGAATACGAAAATAACAGAACAATCTCTGCTGACGCTAACTTTTGACCAGCTTTTGGCGCACTTTTGGCTTACTTTTGGCTCCCCTTTCGCTTACCTTTGGCTCACCTTTGACTCACTTTCGAGTCTTTATTCGACAGTGACTCACGGACACCTGCTGGACAGCATACCAAGTGACGAAGCCGAAACTCGGGGGATTCTTCGCTCGTCGGGACATGGTCGTTCTTTCCCGTACCGACAAGATCCAGGACACCTACTTCATATCCTTCACGAGCACCAAGTGGCCCGGCCTGGAACCGAGTGACGGTGTGGTCAGGTGAGGAGTTGAAACTGCCCGAATTGGTTAGTTCTTATTTTCTTAGGGCAATACGTGGTATGCTCTGCCTGAGCTGCCGATTAAAAATTTTATATTTAAATGCCGAGTAAATATTTTAAGGTGGGGGAGTAGTATTTTCCCGCATGAACTTATGCGCCTCTCATTGGAAGTTTCTCTGAAAAGTGGGGCGAATGGACCAAAAACTTTTGTTGTCGAATTTTATATTTCTAATACATAGCTTCATTATTCATTTCTTCCGATGACACACTGAAGGTGAAACTTGAAATTCATGACGATCAGCAAATTCTAATCTGATAATTTGAGAGGATTCATGGATTATTATTGGACTCTCATTTAAGAAAGAAAATAATTTAATGTAAGGCAGTTGAGAGAAGTGAGTTTTTCCCGTTCCGAAATGGAACGGGAAAAGCTGCATGTTTCCCTTTGTTTTCATTCCAAAGTGTACTTGTGGAGAAGGCTTGTGAATCATCAAAGACTTTAAGTCATTAAGTCATTAAGTCTTTATGGGTTAGCACGCTGCAGTTTCGCAACGGCTTCTGAACTAGATGTCCTCAGAGCTGTGTCATTGGCGAAAATGGCGATCCCGATGAGAAATTCCCTCTCGCGCACGGAGATTGCCCCATCAGCAGACCATCGTGCCGCGTCATCCGGCGTCATCCGGCATCATCCGGCTGCGAAGCGACCCCAGTGCATTCGAGGCGGCGGAGATTCGCGGCGTGGATCGCCATGGTGCGTATGGATCGCGGGGATTCGCGGAAGCGTGGCCCGACTCACGTGAGACTTTATGTCTCGTCTTCGATTTCTTCAAGTTCATACGCAAGTTTTTCCTGCACGAATTTGTCGACAATTTTCGTAAATGATATCATTCCCCGAATTGTCGGTTGGTAGCGTTCGTCTCGATTCCCTTCGATGACCCGCGTAACTCGAAGGCATAGTTGCATATTTGAACCAACCGCACGCGCTCCGCCTGCTGAGAGATGAAATTAAATTCACGACTTGTAACATCTATGATCACTTTCCTCTGCCTGGTTCTTGGACTTTTCCCTGCTGAGGAGGATCGGCCCAGTCGGAGAAAAGGGAAAAAAAACACTGAAACGCTTAGATCCTTGATGGAATCCTGCCGATTCGGGACATTTCCTTCCATCTGAACTTTTTTCCCTCGATCATGATCGATGCTGACTCCTAAAATCACGAGTCACGTGCCAAGAGTCGTCCAACAAAACAGAGAGATTGTGACTTAGCTTTGATCCTTCTATTTTTCAGTAGACTAAGAAAATCGCAATTACCATAGAATATTTACCATAAAATACTTGCAGTAGCATATCATATTTACCTATTGCCTTCGACTCGGATTTCAAGAAATTACGATTTTAGGGGAGGATTGGGATTTCGCATTCCCTTGAAAATTTTTATCTTTAGGGGTTTAAAGAGTAAGGAACTATACGGCCTTATTGAGAAAGCAACCTGAATTTATTTAGGTTAGTATCAGTGTTTTGGGGCGCTTCGTATTTAGGTCCACCTGAGCCGAAGAAGAATGAAATCTATAGGGTTCTAGCCGTTTTACTTCGTGAGTCAGTAAGGTGTGATTTTATTTAAGTCGATATTATATATACATCCTATCGGAAGGGTTAAGGACAGATGCCCCGAAGATCATAAGGCGTTTGCGGATCCAGCTGGCCGGAAGGGCCTTATCAGGTGTCTGCGTGCGAAAGTAAGAACTGAGAGTTAGGAGGGGTGCGCGAAGGGAAGTTTGAGGGTACATGCCAAGCAGATTAGAAAATCTTGTGCAAGGGGGGAGGTGGCCGCAGGGATGAATGTGAAGAAGCGAGGGAGTCTGGATTTTTTTTCCCATTTTAATGAGAGAGAGAGAGAGGTGGTGATGGAGATGATGAGGGCGTTGGGTTACGGATGGCGAGTTGTGGAAGGGGGGCAGGGGGGAGTTAAAGTGCAGCTCTTTCCGAGGCGTTCAATAATTTTATGGAAAGGATAGGTTTTTCTATATTTGAAGCGCCCAATGGTAAATTTGTTAAATTTAGTTTTGAGGGTATTTCCTTAATGTCTCCTGGCCTTTTAAGGTCGTTGAAGTAGTTAAGTGCTAATTCAGAGGCGTGTTGGGGAAGAGGTGTTAGTCCGCTAATTCGATAGATATAGGAGTTAGAATAATAAGTAGGAAGTCGAAAGGCATATCTGATTGCAGCTCGTTCGATTCTTTCGAGCGGGCTGAGGACCGCCTCGGG